TTTAAGCAAGTGTTGATATTTCAATTTTGAGTCCAAATTCTGTGTGAGAGAAGGTTGGAAACTCAAGAAAGATTTCTGTGTTATAATCTGGAGACAGAATTTTTCTCCTTTAGAAAATTTTATTGTTGATTGAACAACTGGGCACCATAACCTAACTCCTTTGACACATAAAATTAACCATCAAGATCACTTTCTGGTAGGAACATTCAGTGCCAGAATCCATTGGCCAAATCCTTTCCCTTTGTTAGAATGATGGTAGAACATATTTTGAGATAAAGTCTTCATCAATCTAAGATTCTAACCAACCTGTGGTAGGCATGTAGAATTAGTCAGAAACATATACCATTTGTTATTGGGAATATTCATTGCTGTAATGTAACCTAGCCTATACTACATGACTCAACAGCAGCATATGTGTGTGCATGTGATATTCTGTACTTAAATGAAAAAGAAAAGGGAAAGGAAGGGAAGTCACTCAGTTGTGTGTGGCTGTTTGTGATCCCATGGGCTGTAACCTACCAGGCTTCTCAGTCCATGGAATAGTCAAGGCAAGAGTACTGGAGTGTGTTGCCATTTCCTTCTCCAGGGGACCTTTCTGAGCCAGGGATCAAACCCAGGTCTCCGGCATTGCAGGAAGACATCTGAGCCATCAGGGAATTATGCCTTAAAATAGTAACATCTTAAACAATGAGAAAAGATCTCGGTCTACCATATTGAAGCAAATCTTTGATACTAAAGACATTTAGCTTGTAATACTAGTGACTTAAATTTTTGATGTTGTCAATGACCTGAAACTCATCAGACTGTGAGCAGTTACATTTACTAATAGGTGAGGAATATCTGAAAGAATATTTGTTGGTTGTAAGATCATCTTCTTTACTGATATGAATTTATATATCTAAGAAACATCACTGTGTTATGAAAGACATTGATTTTAAATGGATTTGGGCCATGTCAACCTACAAAATGAAGAAACACATATAAGCTGGGTATTTGTAGTAGAACTTAATTATTCAGCCTTTTACTGGGAAAAAACATAGATGGAAAGTAAATTTATGTGCCTCTCCTGCATTAACTCAAAAATTACTCAGCAGTCAAAACAGTAATATTAAAATATATTTGTTGTCAGAAAGCATAATTCTGATTGAAGATCTACTGTAAAAATGGACTTCAATTTAGCCAGTGTCTTTAATGTTATATTCTAAACATCATAATGAAGATCTCCATACCAATAATGATGTAGCATGTACTCCTACTTAAATTATTTTTCAAACTTTCTTATCTAATAACTTACTTTTAGTAAACTTAAAAGTAACCATGAAAATATCTACAGTGGCTGAAAAAATGTGAGATATGTTGGATAGTAAGTTAAAGATGACTCAAAGGGATGTTGTATAAAGACAGCCAAGTCTGAGATGTCATTTATTTTACTTCTTGGAACAGGTTCACTACATTCTCACTAATGTGCTTATATCAGTTTTCTTACTAAAATGGGAAATAATTTGTGACAAATTGTAGGCAACATATGTCATGTCTTCCTTTCAGTATTCTGACTCCTCAGACTTTATCTGTGGTGTAGAAGAAATAAAAATGTTCAATTAATAATATAAAAGGTCAACATACTTAGAAATAAAACTCAAAAATAAGGTTTGTAAACACGCTTTGCTTTTTAGACTGGTCAAGATTTTAAAAGTGATAATTGATGGGGAATATCATACACTGCATGCAAATTAGTAAAATACTTCCAGAATATTTAATAGAAATATTGGATATAAAAAATATGCTCAAGTGTTGACTCAAAAATTCCACTTATAATAAATAGTATTGAAGAAAATGTAATAGAAAATTATATGTGTATAAGGATGTATATCACTCTTATTTGAGTTGTGAAAAATGAGGCAAAATCTAGGTAACTACTTACAGATACTAAATAAAATATGGTGTAGCATTTTGATAGATATAAATTTAGATATAATGTTGGTCATATATATGGAAAATATATATATTGTCCCATTTGTGAGGCAGTCAACTAAGTTTTATAGAATATAATCATACAAACACATCACATTGGATAGCTATCAAAATAATGGTAATATTATACACAGGCAGTGTGGATACATCAGTCAGTTCAGTTCAGTTCAGTCACTCAGTTGTGTCCTACTCTTTGCAACGCCATGAACTGCAGCACACCAGGTCTCCCTGTCCATCACCAACTCCTGCAGCTTACCCAAACTCATGTCCATTGAGTCGGTGATGCCATCCAACCATGTCATCCTCTGTCGTCCCCTTCTTCTCCTGCCTTCATGCTTCTATATAGTTAGAATGTTTGCCTAATTCATTTAATATTTTTCTTAAATGACCATGTACTATCTTCATAATAAGATAATAGTCTTATACATATTCATTAAGTCATGCACAGGTGCTCTCTAAGTCAGGTTAGAGACTGTACATTTAAAACTAAACAGTTTAAATTTTTTTGATTTTTTTTGTGTGGTTAAAAAAAATGACTTTATTCAAGAGTGTAAACCAGTAAGAACAGTGGAACCAAGTTCAAATATTATGACATATAAAGTACATTATTTTACATCCATTTGTCAAATAAAGAATCATTTCTGACTATGGTGACTATGGGTCTGACTATGGTGAGGAGAGAGAAAAAGATATCAGATCAGGAGAAGTCACCTGCCAATGCAGGAGCCATGAGACTCGGGATTGATCCCTGGGTCTGGAAGATACCCTGGAGAAGAGAATGGCTATCCACTCCAGTATTCTTGCCTGGAGAATCCCATAGACAGAGGAACCTGGTGGGCTACCATAGGGTCCATAAGGTTGCAAAGAGTCAGATGGATACCACTGAAGCAGCTTAGCATATTATTTTTCATCCATGTGTCACAAAGAATTATTTCAATTTATTGCAATGGGTCTGACTACAGTAAGGGGGGAAAAGGAAATATCATACCAGGAGAAGGGTAATGACAGCAGCATGTCTTTTCATTATTCCAGGTAATTCCTTGATATAGAAATCTATGTGTTAAAAACTAAATAGATAAAAGAAATGCACTGTATTCAGTGATGTAATAGCTTTCCAAGTATGTGGTTTAAGAAAATGTTAAATATAAGGATGACAGACAAAAACAATAAATTTTAAATGGAACCTCATTAACAAAGTTCAATTCAGTTCAGTCACTCAGTCATGTCCCACTCTTTGGTGGTAAAAGTAAACAAAGAGTTGCCATTCTTTGTTTCTTTGCATATTTCATGAATGTTTTTGTTGTTGATCAGTTGCTAAGTCATGTCTGACTCTTTGTGACCTCATAGACTGCAGCACACCAGGCTTCCCTGTCCTTCACCATCTCCCAGAGTTTGCTCAAATTCATGTTCATTGAGTCAGTGATGCGGTCTAATCATCTCATCCTCTGCCGCTCTATTTTCCTTTTGCCTTTGGTCTTTCCCAGCATCAGGGTCTTTCCCAATGAGTCAGTTCCTCTCATCACGTGGCCAAAGTATTGGAGCTTCAGCTTCAGAATCAGTCCTTCCAGTGAATACTCAGGACTGATTTCCTTTAGGATTGACTGGTTTGATCTTGCAGTCCAAGGGATTCTCAAGGGCCTTCTCCAACACCACAGTTCAAAAGCATCAATTCTTCAGTGCTCACTTTTCTTTATGGTCCAACTCTTCCATCCATACATGACTACTGGAAAAACCATAACTTTGACTATATGGACATTTGTCTGCAAAGTAATGTCTCTGCTTTTTAATATTCTGTCTAGGTTTGTCACAACTTTTCTTCCAAGGAGTAGGTGTCTTTTAATTTCATTCCTGCAGTCACCATCTGCAGTGATTTTGGAGCCCAAGAAAGTAAAACTCTCTCAATGCTTCCATTGTTTCCCCATCTGTTTGCCATGAAGTGATGGGACTGGATACCATGATCTTACTTTTCTGAATGGTGAATTTTAAGCCAGCTTTTTCAGCCCCTTCTTTCCCCTTCATCAAGAGGCTCTTTAGTTCCTCTTCACTTTCTGCCGTAAGGGTGGTATCATCTGCATATGTGAGGTTAATGATTTTTCTCCCTGCAGTCTGGATTCCAGTTTGAGTTTCATCCAACCCAGAATTTCACATGATGTACTTTGCATAGAATAGAAGTTAAATAAGCAAGGTGGCAATATGCAGTCTTGATGTACTCCTTTCCCAATTTGGAACCAGTCCGTTGTTCCAAAGATTGTTCTACTATTGAGATAAATGGATTTGATGAACTAATGATTCTTTATTGCTTTTTAATTTCTTAATTCTAGTAGAAAAAATAGCCCTTGTAGTGCTATGGGGCTTAACCATTATGAACATAGAAAAATGACTGAACATTAATATAGCAACTGAACTGATTCATGAGTGTTATTTTAATTGCACAATCCCTCATTTTCAGTGATTTTAGAAGGTTTCTATAAAATGAAATTTGTTGAAAAATTGGACTTACTATGCTGATGATGGAGGTATTACAATTTTGTAAGCTTAGGACACTTTTGGTGAGTATATTTTGCCCATGTTTAAAATGGATTTAAACCCATGGCAAAGGCTTTCAAACTATTCCATGCTGAAAAGAAAAAGCTAAGAAAATAGATCACAGGGTCCAGGCTCAACTTCAATGACAAAGGACTCAATTTCAGTGATAGTGCAGAAAAAAAAATTTTTTGAAAGTCACTGGGACTCTACACGCAACCTTTAATGGGTAGAGACTCATGAGTATTTACTTTAGTTGCCAGTAGAAAAATATTCAGGGGTAACATAACCATTTTCTAGGCACAGATAATCTACAAAATAGGTTTAAACATGAAACTATATTTGACATTCAAATAAGTAGTTTTCCCTTAACCAATTAATAATTAAATATAAGGTAAACTTTAAAAGAACTTAAATTCTTTAAGATTTTGATTAGATCATTTACCTCCATGTCCTCAAAGCAGTAGATTTCTGAAATAGCTTTCTTCTGATAGGAAAATACTTACCATCATTTGTGTAACAGCTTTACTTGCAGCATCTTTAAGGAAAAGGAACATCTCACTTTCAAATTGGGATATTATAGTTTAAATCTTAGCTGTGTTATAATCTATATAAATTCAAGCAAATATGTTAACTTTCCTAGTCTCAGTTTCTGTAACTGTTTCTAAATGTGAATATCTATGTCATAGTTATTGTAAAAATGTACAAAGATTGTTTACTAACAAATATATTCAACAAACACATATTGCAAATCTACTATGTGTTAAGACATTAGTAGGTGCCAGTGATGCAATGTTGAATCAGTCAACATGAGATTACAGACATGCAGAGGAGAAATTAATATGTCATGCATATAGTGGTAGGCACTGCTAAGATTCAAAACAAGAAGTTATGAGAAAGAATTTGATAGGATATACTGTAAGGTAGAAGAAAAGCTAATGATACATAAGCTGAGATCTGAACAATATTAAAAGATTTCTAGGCAAAAGGGGGGATATAAAGCCTCTGAGTCAAGCTAGATGGTAACTAAAGTGAGAAAAAATTTTAAAGGGAGAAATAAGTGGAAGCAATTAAAATATTCCTCAATAGGTGACTGGATAAGCTAACTGCAGTGCATCTCTACAATGGAATATCATGCAGTGATAAAAAGAAATGAGCTATCAAGCCACAAAAGATATAGATAAATTTTAAATGTGTATTTCTAAGTTGCAGAAGCCAGTCTGAAAGGTTTCAAACAACATAATTCCAATTATTTGACATTTTGGAAAAGACAAAGCTATAGACACAATAAAAAATATCAGTGGTTTCCAGGGGTTTAGGGGGAAGAGAGATAAGTCAGTTTCACTAAATGACAGTGATTTTTTAGGGTGGTGAAACTACCCTGTATGATACTGTAATTGTGAATATATTACATTATATATTTGTCAAAATTCATTGAACTTTACATAAAAAGAGTGAAATTTAATATATGCAAATTAATAAATATTCAGGAGTTCAGTGGAAAATCCAGCATGTGATTAAGACTGGGAAAAATTAATCTGAATTATGTATGTGTAAACAACCTCCTTGAATGGGGTGGGGAAAAAAAAATTGCTGACCTAAGTAACTTTGGAAAGTGGAATCTACAAAGCTAAAGGCAAAAGATGTTTCCACAAACACTGTACTCTAACTGACAAAATTATGTCTCAAGGGAATATGTTAACAATTCAGGTGCTTTTATTCATGTTTACTGGAAATGAAAAATTAAGTAAATGGATATTATTTTTTGTAGGTATGTTTTTCACTGTTGTAGTAGAAGGTTACTTATGAGCAAGGGAGAAAGTCATAAAAATCAATACAGGAATAGATTAGAACTGGAGACATCAGTGCAGTCTCATTTCCAACTTAACATGGATGCATATTGCTACTATATAAATATGTATGGATGTAACTATTAGCATATGCACATGTATTTTCATTCTCTGTAAGCTGGCAAAACCTAAAAGTGATGTTATCCCAGTAGCAATGATACACCTACCAACAGGTTTGGTTTCTAATAGCATTCTGTAATAAATGGAATCAGAAGTCTTTGGAGAAATTGCTGGTTCTAAGACAGAGGCCATAAACAAATAAGATGGACATGGACCTTGTGGGTAGTACAAATAAGAAAAGAAATACACACACACACACAAAAGCAAAAGAAAAAGCAAATTAATGAATATATAGCAAAGGGGAACTGGAGCCAACAACAAAAAAGTTTCTAATAATCAAAGCTGTCCAACAAAGTTAAGTAGTACTGGATTAAATCGCAAAGTATACACTAAATATCCAGAGTCTGTATTGACATAAATACCTGCCATACATACATAAATATATTACATAAACTGGCAAAGAGAAGAGACAAATCTCCCAACCAAAGACCAAATAATGTTTATAAATACCCTGCCCTGAAAAATGTGGTACACAGCTCCTTACTCCTTATGCTTGGTTTGTGCATAGTCACTTTCTTCCAAAGAGGAGAGTTTATAAAGTAAGTAAAAGAAGAGTAAATTTACCGTGGAGAACTTTGACAAACACTACCTTAGCCAGATTATCTAAGTCAACATCAACAGTGATGACTCATATTGAAAGTAGATACCCTTGATACAATGCAATCAGAGGAACATTTTATCTCTATGATCTTTCTCTCCAAATCTCAAGTGTGATCATGAAAGAAAAAAAAAAAAAAAATCTGACAAATCCCATAGAAGCCAGTTTTACAAAATATCTAACCAATATTTCTCAGAATCTTCAGGGTTATTATCATAAACAAAGCTTGAAAAACTATCATAGCTATGAGGAACATAAGAAAACATAATGATTATTTCTAATGCAGTATCCTGGATAGAGCAGTGGACAAGAGAAAGAGTTCTTTGGTAAAACACTAAGAAAATGTTAATAAGATATGGACTTTGACTATTTATAATATATCAAGATAAGCTCATTAATTATAACAAATATATCACATTAATATAAGATGTTACTGTTAGGGAAAACTGGCTGTGGAGCTTATGGGAACTCTCATACTTTTCTCAGTTTTTATGTAAGTGTAAAACTGTTCTAAAAACTAAAATTTGTTTTTTAAAAAACGAAAGACCCTGGGAACATGGAAAGCTGTGTAAGGGTCAGGTCACAAAGGGCTTTGTAGGCCATGAATATATCTTTGGAAATTCTTCTCACTGCAGTGGGAAGCAACTGGATCCATTTAAATCTGCTGTGTGATGCAATTCACTTATGATTTTAAAATAGTGATAGAATTCTAGTAGTTGTGAAGAATGGATTGTAATTGAAAGTGGAGAGGGCAAGGATGTAAGGATTAAAACAAGGGCAACACTAAAGAAGTTCTTGTAATAGTGAAGATTAAAAAAAATGATGGTATCTGGGAATATTTGGGTGGAAGTACCTGAATTTGAAGTATATTTTGATTATAAAATGGGAAAACTTGCTTATAGCTTGTGGTTGGGTTGAGGTAGAATAAATGATGGCATAGATTTCTAACATTCTGGTAGGAGAAAATTAACAGAGATGTGTAGAACCAAGGGAGAATGCAGGGACAAAAATACCTAGAATTTTGTTTTGGACATGTTCAGTTTAGGAAGCTTTAGGTCATGCAAGTGAAGATATTAATATCAAGCAGTCAACAGTCTGCTCAGAAAAAGGTCAAAATAAGAAATAAAATTTGGTAGTTAATACATTGTAAATGATATTCGCAAACTTGGAAATGGGTGAAGTCATCTAGAAAGAAACATTACAAAACAAAAAAGATGAAACCATGAAAAACTTAAGCATTTGGTTAGCTTACTACAAGCTAGTGGGGAAGATAAAGAGATACGTGATCTGGGAACACAGAAATGTTTTTCAAGAGGGGCACATTTTCAAATCTATTTTATGCTGCCATGAGTTCCAAAAAGATGAGAAAAGAAAATATTCCTTTAAACACAGGAATATAGTGGTCATTTTCATATCCTAAAGGCTTCCCTGGTGTCTCAAGTGGTAAAGAATCTGCCTGCAATGTAGGAGACCTGGGTTCGATTCCTGGGTTAGGAAGATCTCCTGGAGAAGGGCTAACCACTCCAGCATTCTTGCCTGGTGAATTACATGGACAGAGGAGCCTGGTGGATAACAGTCCATGGTGTTGCAAAGAGTTGGGCATGACTGAGTGGACAACACTTTCACTAACACTTTTATTTCTTAAGAGTAATTTTCAGATAATAGTCTGCACAGGCATAAAGCACTGAAGATTGGAAGGTGAGGAAGTTGATATAGCACATGTTGAAATATTTCCTTCAGAGAGTTTGAGTGTGATATGGAACAATAAATAGAGCAGTAGCTGGGAGGATATATGAAATAGATGAGAGATATTTTTAGAGATATTTCATGTTGGAGAGAACCAGATTCCTTGGGAAAATGAGAGGTGATAGAATGTGAACACAGGTGGAGATTTTTGTATTTCATAGAAAGACTTACCTCATCATCATGAGGTGAAATGAAGTGGATGGAAGGAGAAGACAATGATTTGTGCAAAAATTAATACTTTTAAAATATCTTGTGGTAGAAGAAGGAGTTCTTCTTTTAGTTCTTTTTCCTCAATACATATTAATGTTAATTGGCTGAAAATTAAAGCAGAAGAGAAATACTCTTTTTAGAATTATGATTCAGTCAACCAATAGATACCTTTTAGAGTAAACACAGTAGAGAAATATAATTAACCATCTTCTAGTGCCAAGTACTTTTTGAAGTAGATAATTGTGACGTTGTAGAGACAAGATCAATCAGGTAGGTTGGTGAAGAATAGAGAATGCAATTGGTTTCTTGCTTCTTAGGTGGAGGTTTTAACAGAAGTAGAAAAGATTTAACAGAAGTAGAAAGGACTGGTAGAGATGGGTGAATTAATAAGAATGATAAATATAAGTATGGGGCATAAAATACCAGCTGGATATAAAGGAAAGTAGAAGCAGAAAAAATGTGCTAAATATTGCATAAAAAGTCATAGAATCAATAGATTGTAAGTGACAGGAGATTGTATTAGTAGGAATAAGTAGCACTGTTTGCCTCAACAAACAAATCCTCAGATTGTCATTGACAACACAAGAAAAGGTAGTTTCTGGGGCAAGAAAGGCTTGAAATATACTAGTCAGGACTTTATTCCATCTAGCAACTGGTTGGTTTAGAGTCCCTCCATTTAGTTGTGCTATCATCTCAATATATGTCTTCCAAAGTCATTTTAGTGTAAAAGTAAGAAGTAGAAAATGCACATCCTCTCATTATCTATACTTTACCCAGAATTAACTGCATGAATTGAATTTCTCTAAGGGAGCATATTATATGAGTTATTTGACAGATGATTTCTAGGCTTCTGAGGCCAAAGTTTGCTTTCAATATCAACATTAATTACATAAGCTGGAAATATAGAAAGCTATGCTGTTATTGTGTATGCATGCTCAGTTATGTCTGATTCTTAGTAACCCCATAGACTGTAGACAGCAAGGATCCTTTGTCCATGAGATTTTCCCAGGCAAG